CTTAGCCACCATATAGGTGCTGGGAAACAAACCCTGGTCCTCTGCAAGAGCAGCCAGTGCTGCTGAGTCATCTCTCCAACTTGTTCCTAAACAAGGTCTCACTTTATAGTCCAGACTAGTTCCAGATCCTCCTGCTTCAGCATATCACCCCAAAACTGGTATTACAGGCATGAGCTACCGTCTCAGCCCACTCTAAGGACTCTGTTAGAGGACAACTTTCGGGAGTCGGTCCTCTCCCTTAACCATGTGGGCCCAGGGTATTTACCTAATGAGCATTTTTACTGTCCTTATTTGAATTTTTTCAAGACAGGGTCTCATATATCCCAGGCTGGCCTCAAGCTCACTATGTAACTCTGTCTGGTCTTGATTCCCAATCCTCCTGCTGCCACCTCCCAAGTGGTGGGATCACAGGCACGTGTACCACACTGGGCTCCACTCCTCATTTAAAGAGGGGGAGCTGGAAAGATGACTCAGTGGTTAAAAGCACTGGCTGCTCTTGCAGAGGACCCAGGTTTGGGAAGCTAACAACCATCCCTAACTCCAGCTCCAAGGTGTGCTGGATGCTTTAGTTGTCAACTTGACACACCTGGGTTGAGGGAGCCTCAACTGGGGAATTGTCTCCATTGCACTGGCCTGTGGCCATGTCTGTGGGGGAATTTTCTTGATTGTTGAGTGATGTGGGACGTCCCAGCCCACTGTGGGTGGTGCCACCCCTGGGCAGGTGGGCCTGTATTGTATAAGAAAGCAGGTTGAACATGGGTTAGGGAGCAAGCCAGTAAGCAGTGTTCCTCCATGGTCTGTGCTCTAGCTCCTGCCTCCAGGTTCCTGCCCTGAGTTCCTACCTTGGGCTCCCTGATGAACTGTGACCCAAGAGATGCAAGCTGAATAAACCTTTTCCTCCCCAAGTTGGTAATGGTCAGAGTATTTTGTCACAGCAATGAAGAAACAAACTAGGGCACAAGAGATCCAACACCCTCTTCTGGCCTCCATGGGCAATGCATGACACAGGTGCACTTACATGCAGGCAAAACACTCATACTCATAAAATAAAAATTTTTAAATTTAAAAACCTTAGCAAAGCCTGACAGCACACACCTTTAATCCCAGCACCACACCCCAGAAACAAGTGGATCTCTGAGTTTGAGACTAGCCTGTTTTATATAGTGATACACTGTCTCAAAACAAACAAAAACCTCCAAAATCTTTAATGGACAGTTTAGCACTTCTTTTTTAAAATTTTGTTTAGTTTTTGTGTGTGTGCATATGGGTGTGTGCAAGTGTACATGTGTGTGGAGGCCAGAACCAGTGCTGCTTCCTCTATTGTTTTTTTGATTGTTTGTTTGTTTGAGACATGGTCTCATTATGTAGCCCTGGCTGGCCTGGAACTCTATACAGACTAGGCGGGCCTCAAAAGCACAGAGATCTGCCTACCTCTGCCTCTTCAGTGCTGGGATTAAAGGTGTGTGCCACCACATTCAGCTTCTAACTTGCTTTTTGAGACAGAGTCTCTTACTGAACATAGAATTCACCAGTTGGCTGGACTGGCTAGCCAATGAGCTCTGAGAATCTGTCTTCATTCCCTTGCAGTGCTAGGGATACAGATGTGTGCTACCACAGGGTGGATGGTGGAGAGCTGAACTCCAATTCCTCATGTTTGTGTGACAGGCACTTTACCCACTGAGCAATCTCCCCAGCCCTTCCACTCCTCATTATTAAGGTCTCCGCTCAGATGGAACCTCAAGGCCTGGTCATCCTGAAAGGGTCCAGAATCACTCACTGCCACAACAGGCTCAGGTTCTCTTTGTTACACTGATTACTGTAGCCAGTGCGTCCAGAATGTGTTCCTATTTCTGGGCCAAAAGGAGGTGCGTCAGATCCCCTGAGCTGGAGTTACAGGCAATTGTAAACTGTCTGATGTGGGCACTGGAAACGAAACTTGGGTCCTCTGCAGGCACAGTAAGCACTCTTAACCACTGAGCAATCTCTCCAGCCCCTTCTTCCCATTTTAAATTACCAGCGAAGAGATAGGGGAGAAGAGGGTGTTGGCTGTCCTCCTTATCCTCTGGGATGGCAAAGAAAATGGCAAGACCTGCAGACATTCTAAAGGACATAGGGGCAGCCTCTAGGTAGGATGAAGTCTGGCTGCATTAGTGTCTGAGGAACAGTGAACAGTTTCCCAGCCTTCTAGAAATGGCTAGATTGTGGCTTCATGAGACAGAAGGTAAAGGGAAGGAGCTAGCAGAAGAGATGTGATAACCTCAGGTCTCAGCCAAGTAGAATATTTGGAAGGGAATCCTCAAGATATTTAGAACATGCTGGAACAATGGTACAGGTTTCTGAATTCCAGGAGTACCTGGAGACCATGAGCAGGACCTCTGGTTTGTTCCCTCTGCTCCCTGTGGGCTGTAGCAGATACATTTCATCATGTCTGTGTTTCATGTGTGTTTCTGTTAGTTTCAGAAGTCTGAATGTTAATGCTTCAGAAAGGATGGAGGTGGACATCAAAAGTCATCTCTCCCAGAGGGCCAAGAGGCTGAACACCACGGGGGGCTGTTGGAGGTCAACCCACCTGATTTGGTTTGGGGAAAGCATTGGCTTTGCCATTAGGCACAGTTGGATTCACATCCTGAGTCTACATCTTATTAGTTTTATGACTCTGGACAGGATGCCCAACATCTCTGTGTTGGCTTTGAAAGGAGCTGAATGGCAGAGGGTGGGAACCTCACTGGTGGTCATGAGAATTAAATGGATCCTCTCCCAAGATGCCCAGCCCGGAGTTGGCCCTTTAGAGTTAATGGGGTTCCTTTTCAGCAGTCCAAAGGGATCAGCAATCTTGAGTCTTGGGCAGCACCAGCCCCATGACTCCTGTCCTGTTTGTCCCTCCTCCATGCCACGCCCAGTGACTTTGGGACTGCTGGATTTAGGAAGTTCCCGTCCTCTGCCATTCACTCCAACTCCTCCTAGCCCCCCCCCAACCCCCCACGGTAAGGAGGAGAAAGAATGAGGCAGAAGGCAACAGGAAGGAGATTCAGGAGAGGAAAAAGAAACAAGTTTTATTAAAGCCCCAACACTCGGCTAGAAAAACCGAAAAGGAGAGAGAGCAGGGAAGTGGGGGAAGAAAAAAGGACATTAAAAAAGAGAGACAGAAAACACAGCAACCCTTTTCCATTTAGAAATTGTCAAGTTACACCAACAGAGGTCACAGAATATCCACAGAAGCCATCACTGCTACACCAACACAGGCCCTACGGGGTAGACGGAGCGGGTGTGGAGCCTGGCTGGCCCCGGGGGACCCCACCTGGGACCCCACTCAGAGTCTCAGCCATGAGGCCCCTGGGGAAACAGTATATCGTGGAAGGGGCCGGAGAGAACCCCCCATGCGAGTAACACAGCACAGCGGGCAGGGGTGGGGGGGACCAGGTACAGGGTCCCCCGATATGGTAGTTTCTCTTGGTCAAGCACACACTGATGGACAGAGCGGCGAGGCACATGCAGCTGGGGGGGCATTGCGTGCTGCGGGCTTTGAAAGGACAGGTGCAGGGGGGCCCTTGGAGGGGAGCTGGGGGCAAGTGGTGCAGGGATGATGGAACACACTCACACATGCGCACTCACACACAGAGGCCTTCCCACACGCCTGTCTGCACCTGCACAGCAGCGCGCACACCACTACACCCACAGCTCACGTATCTCTGCTCATTCATACATGGTCCTCACATGAACAGCCAGGCATGTCTGCACACATATTACACACGTTCTTACTCCTGAGGCTCCTGTCACATGAACATGCTGATGCCCAGGCAGGGTACATTCACATATACACACACACACCTCCACACACACTATAAGCTGTGCCTATGCACACACATCCCATGCATGTGCACACATATAAGTTAAGTAGGCTTGTCAGCATACACACATATACACACACAAGCTGCACATAATCCCATACAAATGCCTCCCAGCCCACACATGCACAGGAACCAAAGTGAAAAACAACGCAAATCCCACAGGCCTTGCCTGAGCGCGCATGGGGCAGGACTAGCTCCCTCCACAGTCCCTGTGTGAATGTGGTCACTTCCCCCGGCTACCCCTCCCTCCACAAAGGACACTCAACTCAAGACAACAATGGAGGGGTGCACACTCAGGTCACAGGGCTAGGGGGGCAAGCGAAGAGCGTAGCAAGCAGAGATTAATGGAGTCGAGGGGCCCCTCCCCCTCCCCTCCCAAGCCAGGGGTCTCTGTACAGCCAAGTCAAACCAAACTGCTTCACCAGACCACAGAAGCCAGGCCACACGCCTGTCCCCAGCTCCCCTCCCCCACCAGACAGTGGCCAGGGAGAGTGTGCTGTGGTTTTTTTTTTCTTTTTAAATATTTATATATATTTATATTACGTATATTATATATAATATGTAAATATATTTTTAAAACAATATAAAATGTTAAGACACTTCACTTAAATGTAAAGAGTTGCTTGCAATTAAAAGTAATTGCATCATTTATGAGGTCCTTTTTTCCTATTTTCTAGGTTTTTTTTTTTTGTTTTTTTTTTTGTTGTTGTTGTTGTCGCTGTTGTTTTTGTGTTTTTTTTTCCCGGGAAGGACTTTTTTTTTCTTCTTCTTCTTTTCTCACTTTTCAAAAAGGTTTGCTTGCCTTGGTACAAAAATGATCCAAAGCTAGAAAACAAGGATGAACAAACAAAAACAGAAAAAAAAGGAAAGAAACACAATCCAGTTTTCCCTCCCTTCCCAAACCCTCAACAGCTGCCCTGGCCCTCCCCCACCAGACTGCAGAGTCTTGGACTTCTGACCCCTTCAATGGCTCCTTTCTGTGCTTACTGGGGGACTCATCCCAAGACCCCCTCCCTGTGCTCACTCTACTTTGTGCTAAACATGGAACCCCCTCCACCATACATAATCTTCCTTCTGGCTTCTTTGTGCCTACGTGGGCGGGGGG